GCAAGTTCAAAGTGGACCTTATTATCTTTCCCCTATTCTGCCACTTGTCCAAACTTCTTTTTTCCTCTTGAGGGCACCACCATTCTCTCAGTCACTGAATTTCACAATCTCACAGTTAGCTTTTACCTCATTCTAACATTTTGTTAATGTTTTATTAATTTCTTTTTTATTATCCAGGCCCTGAAACACTCTCTAATGTCCCCTACTATCCCCACCAAAAGAGTCATTTCACATAGCAAAAAGTATTTTTAAAGATTATATGAAGAAAAAGAAAAGGAAAAATTAGCATAACTTATCAATACATTGACAAAGGTTGAAAATATATGCAATATACACCACTTGTGGACCTTCCATTTTGCAAACAGGTGGGGTGGTTGTGTTTTATCTCTTTTGTTATGCTATCTATATTTTTATAGTTTTACAACACTAACTTTTGTTTTTTTTGGTTGTTCTTTTCAATTATCTTGTTATAATTAGAGTGTACATTGTTTTCTTTACATCAGTTCTTGTAGCTCTTTCCATGCTTCTATTTATAAATTTTTCATTCTTTTTAAAAATGTTTTATGTCTTTTTATGTCACCAGTGTTTCTCCCAGTATCCCTCAAATTCCCCCTCTAAGAGAGCCATCTCATATAATAGCATTTTAAGACAAAGAAAAAGAATAAAATGCAAAAATGATCAGAACAACTAAACAATACATCTAAAAGATTCGAAATATGTAGAAAGTACAACACTTGTGGACTTCCATTATCTATAATAAAAAAGTTGGAGTAACAATATCTTTTTCTATCTCAATTCTTCTCTTATGATCATCAAAATATAACACAACCATTCCCAAGTGTTGCCTCATTAGAATACTTCTATGACCTCTGATGATAATATAGTGCAGAGGGGACATATGCATCTTCTCCTCACATTAGAATATAGTCTATCATTGTTTAGGTTCTTGTATAATTTTTGTATCTTTTTATTTTTTTTCTTAATTGTTATGTTAGAACTTCAAAGGCTCTACAGTCTTTTCATCAAGAATGCTTGAAAGTTTTCTATTTCATCAAAGGTCCATTTTGCCCCGTGTAGGAAGATATCCAGTTTTACAGAGTAAGTTCTTCTTTGTCTTCTGGAATATTGTATTCCAAGTTCTCCACTCATTCATGGTGGTGTCTACTAAATTATGTGTGCCCCTGATTGGACCTGTAGTGATTGATTCCTTTCTTTTTAGCTCCTTGTAGTATTTTTTCTTTGACTCAGATGCCCTAGATTTTGCTTTGATGTTTGGGGAACTTACCATTTTGGCATTTCTTTCAGAAGATGACCAGTGGATTCTTTCTGTTTTCACTTTGCCCAGTTGTTATAAGAGATGTGGGCAGTTTTTTATTTAATATTTCTTGGAATATGAAGTCTAGGGTATCTTTTTATGTCATAGAATTCAGATACTCTAATGATTCTTAAATGTTTTCTCTTTCATCTGCTTTTGAATTTGGCTGTTTTTGCTATGAGAAACTTAACCTTTTCACCAATTGTTTTGTAGTCTTTTCCCTTAGTTTTAAGATGTTTTCTTGCCCCATGGAGTCATTTATTTCAATTTGATCTATTCTTATTTTCAGAGCAGTTGTTGCTAGGACTCCATTTTGTACCTCTTGTGCCAAGCTATTAATCTCCTTTCTAATTATTACTTGAATAGCTCTCATTTATTTTCCAATCTCCCCCAGAACTTCAATTTCATTGATTTAAAAAAAATCTCTTTTTAAAAATCTTTCTTGATCTCTTCCAGGAATTCCAGTTGAAATTATTCCCAACCTCTCCAACATTGACTGTTTCATCCTTTATCACACTTGCAAATATACAAGGGGTGAGGTAAACCTCAGGGTTTTTTCTTTAAGGCTTTGCTTGTAGATATTTTGGAGTCAGTTTCTTCTTTTGGGGTTGTGTGTTGACTATTCCTGTTACCAGTTTTGGTGGGATTCCTTTTTTCGATTGCTCATTCTTCTAGCTTACCACCTGACTTAGGACTTGTTTTAAGGATTAGCCTTTCCTTAGGAGAGGATGCCTGGGCTTGTCCTGTTGCTTCTTTCTTGGGGTATGTTATTCCAGATTCACAGGGAGAGCTCACCCTAAGGACCTGTAAGCTTTCAATGCTCCCAAAGTGATTGTTTGCAAAGCTAATTGCTGTCCACATGGTCTGAACTCCAAAAGCACTTGATTTAAATCTGAGTCTAAGCAAGAGAAGATTGCAGTTCGACGTAGCTAAAATCAGCCAGTTGGGAAGCTCTGCTGGTTCTGAGTAACACAATTACAAGTTCTTCTTTGGTCTGAGGTCATCACCCTGGTTATTTCTTTGAGGGCTTCAGACTATTTAGAAGGTGCGACCTTGCTTTGCTTCTGGACTCAGAGTTACATTGCTACCAAACTTATTCCTATGAGATTGTGACTACTGGTGTATCCTTACCTTGGAATGCCACCCCCTGGATGTAGGTTCCCTTTTGTCCTCTACCCTAGAGCTGTGCCTCAGAACTAAGTAATTGGTGACAAGACTGCCAGTTGGCACCTATTGCTGTACATCGCTCCAATGGGAGTTTAGGGGTATCCTAATATGGGCCTGTGAGTTCCTCTTGCCTTGGCACCCAGACTCTCCTTACATACTGGAGTGTTCCACGTGGTGCACTGCTGACCAGATACCATCCACATTATCTACTGACATTATCTACTGATCCTATCCCAGTGTCTGCTAAAATAAATGATTCTTTGTGACGTTTTCTTGGACTTCTCCTTCAGTATTCAGTCTTGCATTTTTGTATTTTCTAAATCTATTTGGAGAGATTTGGGACAGAAAAGAGTAGAGCTTCTCTGTACAGCTTTTTGTTACTTCTCTGTCTTCCACATTCATCATTTCTTATAGCACAATAGTATCACATCAATGTGCCAAAATTTCTTTAGCTATTTCCTAGTCAATGGGCATCTATCTACTTTGTTTCTAATTCTTTACTACCACAGGAAGTGCTGCTAGAAAACTTTTGGTGTATGTGAGGACTTTTTTCATTGGCCTCCCTGGAGTATAAGGCTGGTAATGAGATCCGTGGGTCAGATGGTATGGTCTTATTAGTCACTTTATTCGCCTAATGCTAAATTGTTTTCCAAAATGTTTGTACTTACTCACAGCTCTACCAACAATACACTAGTGTGCCTGCCTTCCAACAAATCTCCAAGTGTAAGAAAAGGAGGAATCTGTCCTAGATGGTAGTCATGAGCAGGCTGATATCAATGGTTTCCTGTGTTTATTTTTATGGTTCTCTCTAAGGACATTTACAAGCTACATCTACGTTCTGATTGGTGATTGATTATCTAATCTTATGATTTAAGCAATCTATCAGAGTTTACGTCATTAGCAATTGTTTATCAGTTGTTAACAAGATTTGGCATACTCATGTCATTAACAAATCCTTTTTTGGTTTTGGGACACATACATAAAATCCAAGAAACATTTATTAAATAACTTATGTGCCAGGCATTGCACTATTAATAAAAAGTACATTCATTAGTGGTTGTTTACCAGATTTGTGGACACACGTATCATTGCAAAAGTATGCCTTTCAGGTGCTTATCTTGTTACAGAAAAGCAGTCCATGTAACAATTCATTGGTCAAGAAACAGGGACTTAAAACAAGTTAGAGATGCTTACATTAAGTTAACTTGCTTATTTCCACTACACCCTTTCAACCCTACCTCATTCTATTGTTTACCTTGTTATTGCAGATCTTGAATTTTTTGTATTTTATTGAGTTCTGTATAACATTTATTTGATAATTTGATTGCCATAATATTGCAACTGTAATTTAACTTTGGTTGGCATTTTCATTGGCATGGCTCATCCATGAGTGCTGAATATTCCTCTTAATGTTTAAAGTTATTGTCAATTTCTTTCTAGTATGCTTGATGATTCCTTAGGATTTTCAAAGTAAAACATTATGTCATTAACAAATAGGGATAGTTTTATTTTTTCTTTGCCTCTTTTCACACTTTTAATTTTAATTTCTCATTATATTGCTATTGCTTGTGTTGCTAGAAGTATAACAAAAAATAACAAGGAGAGTGGACATTCTTCCTTTGAATTCTCTATTTTTTGGTAAAGATGCTAGCATAACCCCATTACGTATGATGCTTGCTTTTGGTTTTAGATATACATATTTATAATAATAAAAGATCATTTTATGCCCATACTTCTTGTGGTTTTTAGCAAAATGATCTTACAATAATTCTATGCATGAGATGCAAAATATGCAAAATTGAGTAAACCAAATATAATTGAATGAGGGCAAGAGAACCAACATTTATTGATTTCTTCATTCACCCTTGCCTGCTTGTGTACTTTTAGAAAGAAATTTCTTCATAACTTCTTTGTTCTCCTATCCATTCCCTTCTTTCCATGGACATGGCCATCATTCTAGATCAGGCTTTCCTCACCTCTTACCTTATCTTGGTAAATTGTGTTAACTGGTCTTTCTGTTCTTCCTCTGAATTTCACCCTCTCCAAAGCAGCTAAAGTAGTAATCATTAGTTGCTTAGTATTCAAAGTTCTCATACAATGCAGAGTGAATTGTATCAAGCCTTTTCTCATATTAGTCTCCTTCTTGAGATCTCCTTTCCATCCAAACTGGACTATTGGCTCTAGCCCAAATTTCACTCTCTATCCCTTGTCTCTGTGAGTTTGCACAGACTATACTGCATGGATATAACATAATGCTTCCCACTTCTGTCTACTGACATCCTCATCTTCTTTCACAGTTCATGTAACTTCTTTTTACTAAATCTCACCCAGTTAGTTCTCTTGCCCTCATCTATTCACTTTCAATTTACATATATATCTATATGTTGAATCTCACCAGGAAAATAAGCACAAGATCCTTGAGGGTAGGGCCTATTGTGCTTTTATACTTTGTTTGCCCACTGCCTAGTACAAGACTGGACAGAGTGGATTCATAATATACGCTTTTTTTGACTGCTAAACTGCAGATATGGACAATTGCGTGACATGCCCAGAAGATCAATATCCAAACAGGGAGAAGGACCAGTGTCTCCCCAAAGTAACAGCCTTCCTCAGTATCCAAGAACCTTTGGGATGGATTCTGACCTGCATGGCTCTCTCCTTCTCTTTTCTCACAGTTCTGATCCTTATGATCTTTGTGAAGCATCGAGACACTCCCATCGTCAAGGCCAACAACCGGATTCTGAGCTACGTGCTTCTCATCTCTCTCATCTTTTGCTTCCTCTGTTCTTTGCTTTTCATTGGCCGTCCTAACACAGCAACCTGCCTTCTTCAGCAAACAATATTTGGAATTGTATTCACAATGGCAGTTTCTTCTATTTTGGCCAAAACCATCATGGTGGTTCTGGCTTTTAAGGTCACAAGACCAGGGAGCAGGTTGAAGATGTGGGTACAGCCTAAGGTGTCCAATTCTCTAGTCTTTCTCTGCTCTGTGATCCAAGTATTTCTCTGTGGGATCTGGCTGGGGACTTCACCTCCATTCTTAAGTACAGACCCTCACTCTGAACCTGGCCACATCATCATTGAGTGTAAGGAGGGCTCTGTCATTGCCTTCTACTGTGTCCTGGGCTACATGGGCATCCTGGCCCTGGGCAGCTTCATGGTGGCTTTCCTGGTCAGGAACCTTCCTGACACCTACAATGAAGCCAAGTTCATCACCTTTAGCATGCTGGTCTTCTGCAGTGTGTGGGTCTCTTTCCTTCCCACATATCAGAGTTCCAAGGGGAAGGACATGGTGACTGTGGAGGTTTTTGCCATCTTGGCCTCCAGTGCTGGGTTACTGGGCTTCATCTTTTTTCCCAAGTGCTATGTGATCCTGCTAAGGCCAGAGAGGAACACTCTGGAATGGTTAAGGAACAAATCAGATTCCAGAGCCAGGAACTTGGTCCTAGAGACTCTTCCAAGGTCATGAGAAATACTGGATAAAACACCAATATTAGCTTCAAATAACTGTAATTTAATATCTTGGTGATGACTAACCCTTGTTCTCTTTTACTAATTAAGTTCTCTTTCCAACCTTGTTGATTGCATTTAATGGAACGGTAATCTTGAGAGATAGCACTTATATTTAAAAATGTAATCACCAGGGGTCTTGTTCCCTTATCACCTGTGTTCTGGACATCTTTGCGATCTTCTAGGGCTCACTGCTTGCTACCGTTCAATTTCTTCATCACCTCTTGCCTGAGTTAGTGACCTATAGAGACTCCCTCCCTCCTGTCTCTGCCTTCATTTTAAGGACTAAATTCCATCCAAAAGTAGTTGTTCTATTCTGTTCCCCTGTTCTAAATGCCAGTGCAGTTCCCCACCATCCTTACCCCCAGTAGCCTGGCCATCTCCACCTAAAAGAGACGGCAAATGTCACTCCTTACAGAACCTGTATTACAGAAGGAATCTGCCCTGAAATAAAAAGCTTATGATATATTCCTTTGTATCATACTTAATTTGCACTTGTCTTATGTTCCATATTATGGTTTTAGCTCCTTGAGGACAAGGCCTGTTTTTTTTCTTTGCCTTTGTATCTCCAAGATCAAGCAGAGTGTCACTCACACCATAGGCATGTACTAAATATTTTAAGAATTGATATGGATTTGATTGGTTTCTTTTATAGGATAATAGATCTGGAATGGAACATAGAGGTCATGTAATCCAACATCTTCATTTTAACAATGAAGAAACTGAGTCCCTGAGAAGTAAAATGTTTTTACCTAAGATCATATACCAAGTAAAATTCAAGGCTAGAATTTGAATCCAGAGTCTTCCACAAAAAACAAAGCCATGACTCATCTTAGTGTTCTATGTCACCATGCTTTAGTTTATTTCTTGATGTTAATCCCATGAATGCACAGTCCCAAGATTATAATGAAAGTGGAAATGGCTTACATTTTGTGTCTTCTTGACACTGAGCTGCTGTATTTATTCATTATCTCATTTCCCAAAATGAGCTTTATGTTAGAATTCAGACACTCTCACTGCTAAACCTCACACACCTCACAAACCCAATACCTGGTATTCTTTTTTATCTGTTGTCTCATTCCTAGCGGGGAACACATGAGAATTAGCTGCCATAACTAGAAATGAGGCATGAATCCAGATCTTACTGGAGATCATTCTCCTCACATGCCATTTATTCTACATTCAGTAGTAGTCAAGATCAACTGGAAAGGCTAGAGGCTTTATTCTTGAGGCCAAAACCAGGATTTAAGTCAAATCTGGTGCCCAAGTCATTACCAGAAACTTTTCAACATGAGTGAAAAATAGGTATATAATGGCCACTGTCTTGCAGGACAGCCTGGACACAAGTAGAGCTCTATTAGGAGAAGGATTAAATGCATAGCTGAGGATGGGTTTTCTAGGATAGGATCCTGGGGTATGCTAGGGGCAGTTATGCCACTCAGTGGCTGACAGAGGTCCACAAATTGAGGTTTGAAATTGACTGTATGCCAGAGCAAAAACATCCTTTCCACCCTATTTCCCCAGAGGGAACATATTCTCCATCCCATGTTATTTTGATGTAGCAAAACCTCATCATTTCATTCTAGTTATGGGCTTTGTTCAATGTAGTCTTAGCTTTCTGAATTCTGATTTTAACAATTCCAAGCCAGAGCCATGGTCACATAACTACTAGATAAGGTGTGCAGCCTTTTGACTTATTCTTGTCTCCATATCCCCATTGTGGTCATATCTTAACAATCTCCACTCAAGCAGCCTCCACTGTAGTTCTCCATTTTAACCTTTGGCCTTATTCAACAGAATGACCTCATTGGTCACTGCTTGTAGAATCAGTATGAAAAGGGTCCAGATATCTGCAAACTTCTGGCCTGCAGATCTGTGGAAGCATGAATCCTAACAAGAGTCATCACTTCTAAGAACCATATTCCTCCTTCACAATAGTGAAGAGACACAGAATGAAAGGATTTAAGAGGGAGGAGACAAGAAGGTCAAGTGAAATGAGCATTTAGCTCTCCAAAGGGAAATGTCTAAACAACTTTTTTTAGAGTGTACCAAATCAAATTCTGGGTGGGATAACCAACAAAAAGTCACAGTCAGACATCCTTCCAGACCAGGAGAGTTTGGTAGGGCAGAAAGAGAGGTCTAGAGATACTAGGGTGGGGGCTGGCAAGAAGCCCATGTGGTGTTAGTATTATCCACTGTAGGAATTGGAAGGAACAACAGTGACAGTACCACTGGGATCACTTAGCATCCAGGGATGCTAATCTTTACAGATTATGATGAATTTAGGTAACTACCTGGTCATAAATAGACTGTAGTTGTACATTTTCTTAGCATTGTACACAGGACTAGGCACACTTTGGCATGTCCTTTACCTATTATCTAGTCTTGGGTCTTAATTCCAGTATGAAGAGGAACACTTTCAGCTTGTGGTGACATGGGATCAGAGGCCCTACCAAGGTAAGGACCAGACTGTGGACAACAGGACAGCAGACAGAAGTCTACCAAAATCACAAAACCTTAGAAGCAGTGAAAGTACGGGTCCCCAGACCAAACTATAAAACCTCAGGTTACCTCCCTACCCCCAAAATGAGTAGAATCTAACCCTGACACAAAGTACAAAGTGAAGAAATCCCCTGGAGAATGAACAAACACCAAAAAAGAGAGACCTGAACATAAAAATTTAGTTGATAACAGGGAAACTCAAGACATAAACTTAGAAAAAGACAATGACTTGAAAACACTTACAAGTAAAACCTTAAATAAAAATGCAACACAAAAATTCCTAAAAAAGCTAAACCAAGAGATTTTTCTCAAAGAGCAAGGAAAAAATGATGTTAGTAATCAAATAAAAATGTTAGAGGAAAAGTTGGGGAAATGAAAATGCAAGAACATTATGAAATGTGTCTATGGTCATTGAGAGAAGCCATTGTGGAAGGACAGAGCCATGATGGTGAAGGAAGGCAGAAACCCACTTGAGCTCTCCTAAACTCACTTCCAAACAACTATAAAATAGCAGCACAAGACACATTCTGGAGCAGCAGCAGCAGCAAAAAGAACAGTGTGAAACAATTTTGCAGCCCAAGATAACTTAGAACGTCTGCAAAGTCTATCTCACTATGATGAAATGGGAACAGAATACAATGCAGGTAGCATCTGGGCAAATCTGTAGCCACACTCAAAGCCCCAATATAGGTCAGTGACAATACCCAATATCCCAGGGCAGGTCAACAGCAAGGTTTCATGCACTTGGTGCACCAGGCAAGCAATGAGGCTACATATGTCCAGTGCAAGAAGCTTGAGACATTCTTCCCTCTGCCTCAAGGCTACAGCCCACCTTTAATAACATAAAATTTCAAGTTATGAAAGAGGCTGGAAAATAAGCAAGCAAACAAACAAAAAAGAAACTGACTATAGAAAGTTACTACGGCAACAGGGAAGGTCACTTTTGTCTACATGCCAAGGCAAACTCAGGAACTATGTGAACAAAATTACAAAACACTTTTTCACACAAATCAGGTCAGGTCTAAAAAAATTGTAAAAATATCAATTGCTCATGGGTAGGATGAGCTAATATAATAAAAATGACAATGCTACCTAAATTTGTTTACTTATTCAGTGCCATACCAAACAAACTACCAAAAATTATTTTTTAGAGCTAAAAAAAAAATAGAAACAAAACTCCTTTGGAAGAACAAAAGGTCAAGAATGCCAAGGAAATTAACAAAAAAAAATGCAAAGGAAAATGGCCTCACCATACCAGTAAACTACATTATAAAGTGGCGGTCATCAAAACTATTTGGTATTGGCAAAGAAATAGAGTGGTGGATCAGTAGAATAAGTTAGATACACAAGAAAATGTAATCAATGACTACTGTAATTTACTGTTTGATAAACCCAAGAACTCATTAGTGATGAAGACTGTTGAGAAAACTCAAAAATACTTTGGGAGAAACTAGGCATAGACCAACATCTTACACTATATACCAAGATAAAATCAAAATGGGTGTATGATTTAAACATAAAGGGTTATAATTTAAGCAAATTAAGAGAGCAAGGAATAATTTACTTATCAGATCTACAAAAAAGGTAAGAATTTATGAAAAAAGCAAGAGATAAAGAACATTATGAAATGCAAAATGGATAGTTTTGATTATATCATTTTTTTAATTGCACAAAGCCAATACAACCAACATTAGAAGGGAAATAGAAAGTTGTGAAATAATATTTACAGGCAGTGTTTCTGATAAAGGTCTCACTTCTAAAATATGTAGAAAACTGAATCAAATTAATAAGAATATAAGTCATTCCCCAATTAACAAATGATCAAAAAATATGAACAGGCCATTATCAGATGAAGAGATTAAAGCTATCTATATTCAGATTAAAACAGGGTCTTAAATCACTATTGATTAAAGAGATGCAAATTAAAACAACTGTGAGGTGGTGCCTCACACATATGAGATTGGCTAATATAACAAAAAAAAAAGAAAATGATAAATGTTGGAGAAGATGTGGGAAAATTGGAACACTAATGCATTGTTGGTGAAGTGGTGAACTGATCCGGTGATTCTGGAGAGCAATCTGAAACTATGTCCAAAGGGCTATAAAACTGTGCATATCCTTTCATCCAGCAATATCACTAGTAGGTCTGTATCCTAAAGATATCTTTAAAAAAGTTCAAAGGACCCACTTGTACAAAAATATTTATAGCAGCTCTCTTTGTGGTGGCAAAGAATTGGAAATTGGGGGGATGCCCATCAATTGGGGAATGGCTGAGCAAGTTGTGGTATATGAATGTAATGGAATACTATTGTTTCATAAGAAATGATGAGCAGGGAGTGGAGACAAGATGGCAGAGTACAAGCAGTGACTTGCTTGAGCTGTCCCCCAACCCTTCCAAATGCCTGTAAAAATGGCTCTAAACAAATTCTAGAACAACAGAAACCACAAAAAGACAGA